ATATATTGCTGCTGCCACACAGATCTAAAATAAACATGTGATTTGTTTCCCAGCTGTTTACCTTCACAGACATAACCAACACTTATATTACATATTGTAAAAAGGGGCATAATATGTCTCCTTTAACATTTGCCTTAAAGCATGAATTTATTAGTTCTTGCTGGCATTTTAGTTGTTTTTCTACTGTACATGAGTTTAATACGTACTCACTCAGTATAAGCACGTTATGGAACGAATTAGAAACATTATTTGAATTAACAGTGTAAAGCAGCAATAATGAGAATCGCCCTGCTATTTTAAAGGTTACTGTACAAACCATGAATCACACAACTAAAAACAGGACCAAAAAAAACTCTCTTTATTAAGATTCACAAAATGTAGAAAATGTTTGCAGAAACTATTATTATGTTCACTCATAATGAAAAAGTCAATGAAAACAATATATGAGTTTCTCTTCTTGTATAAATGGCTAATGGTCACAAATTAATTGAATATATGGTATAAAAATATAGTTATCTCAAATCTGCCACAAAAGGCCCGGATGTGCTTTAAGAACTAAAAGGCCAAAGGCTCTTGAGTCCATCTCTGTCCATTAGTCTAAGACTTAATGGCCAATTCCATCAATAGACCTGACCCTGATGTTGCTAAAAACTGACTTCCAGCCACGCAAAACCATTTGTCTCGCTTCCTGGTCTCACCAATTAAGATCGTCTATACCAATTTTCCCTGAGCACAACACTACTCATGTTTTTATCGTTATTAGTACTTTGGTGTTGTGGATCACTCTAAATGTCACAGAGTCATTGAAGGCTGATGGAAACATTAAGTCGTTAGATCCGTCATTTCACCACTTTCTTTTTCTTGCAAGGGTGTCTGTACTCTTGACCAGCCTCATCTAATGGAGGTAAAATCAGTATATGGCCATCCAGTGTGTACAGTAAAATCTACTGCCGAATGTAATTGAATGTAATCATAAAACCAAATAATTGAATAACCCTTACTAGTTATTTAACAATAGTTATATAATTATTTTTAATAATTATTATTATTTATATATAATTAATTGTATAATTTAAGCATCTTTTTTTAAATGATCACACAAAAAACACAGATTATAGCAATAACGTGTTTTTTTTTTTTTGGAATCCATATACAGTACCAGTCCATTCTAGACACACTTAACTATTCTTTAATATTATTACTTGTAAACTTTTTATAATGATACAAAACAATGAAATAACACAAATGGAAGAATGGCAACATCATGACAACCAAAAAATGTTGAACAATTTTCTACTATTTTAACTACTGTTCCTTTACACACCAACTAATCCCTAAGTAAAAAGAAATAAGTAACAAAGCTAAAAATAATAAAATAAATAAATAGATAAAATATTTTAAAAATTGAAATGTTGATTTCTTAAAGAAATTTCATATGTTTATATTTGTCTACATGAGTAATATCAAGTATTTAAGCATAAACTTTTTAAAAACAAAATTCTATTAAGATCATGAGGAACTTACAAACATTTTTACTGGTAGTGACTATTTCATTGGTTTAAAAAAAAATATTAGGCATTGTCCTGAATTTAGTTTTTCTAAAATTCTGCCAAAATTGTCTACAGATGGTGAGCCTGTTTAATGGTTTAGTTTAATGTTTAATGGTGAGACAGATCTGACTTCTCATCTATCTGCAAACTGCTAAACATGGCTAAGCATTTAAACACTATTGCATGCACAATAACGATGTGCACAACACAAAGTGTGAACATCTGACAGCCTACTAGAGAAACAGCCCCAGAGAGAACAAGAGAGAGAAAGAGAGACAGTTCTGAGCTATAATGAGGCCCATTTACTCTCATTCTCCTGCTTTCACAGGAAATTGATTTCAACTGCAGATGACAGATAGGGCCTTTGTGCATGTTATGCTCAGCAGAACTCTCATTAAATGAGTGTGGATTTCTAGTAAAAGTTGGCTGTGAAAATGAGGAAGCAAAACTTCTATTTGAATAGTGGGTTTTTTGTTGGTTGTGGCTACTTATTTTTACTGAGACCTGCTTTACATTTCATTAGAGGAACTGTGGAACATGCAGATACTCATATTGTATCACATTTAAGACATTTGAGCTAGAACTTTATAAAGTACATGCTCACCACAACTTCTCCAAATGTGAGATTATGAACAAAGATTATGTGGTAGTTGATGTGGTACCTGAGTGTTTGCTGAACTGCTGTTGTAACCTTGATTCTGAGCATCAATGTACTTTGTTGCTGATGCTTGTGTGGAAACAGGGTTAATCTGCAAAACATAATAATAGGCACATGAATATATCCATGAAAAAACAGCCTGATATGTAAAAAAATTTTTTTTTATATGAAATAATGTATATTTTTGTCATATCCAGTCCATGCCTTTTGCAGTCCAAGCATACATAACTCAAACTTTCCCTCCATATGAATCAATGACAAAAAATAATTCAAATGTCATCACGCCTGAGGAACGCTGACTGTGTATCTACAGGAAGGCCACACTGGGAATATGTTAAACATCTTGGTAATTATGGTACAAAGACAGACCTACTGCACAGAACGTGGGAATATTCTCCGTCTGGAGTAAAAGTATGCCAAATACCTAATTAAACCTTTAATCATTTACATTTTGTATCTTCTAATTATGATACAACTCAAGAAACACACACATTCAATGATTTCAATGATGTGATACTACTGGAAAAACACAAGAAAATCAAAAAAAAAACTGGACAAGTTTTAGTATATCAGCTCAGCAAACAGAATAACACTCTGCTCACTGATGTGGTCTAGATAATCAGAAGTTTGCTTTCAATTTGTCCTTCCCCTCTCTAGAGTTCTAAAAATAATCACACAAAATGCTCTAATTTCATCTAATGCTCTGTATAAAGAAGTGAAATCGAAAACAAAGCTGATGATTAGGGTATTTTTTACCTCAATATAGTCCTCGGGCACCAGGCCTACATTTCCTCTGGAATTCCGAGCCTCTACCCAGCCACCGCCTACATTCTACATAAAATAAAGAAAAACAGAGAGGGAAATTATATATATATAATTTAAAACTTTGGGATCTGTAAGATTTTTGAATGAAGTCTCACCAAGCCTGCATTACAAATACCAACAGTAACAGTAAAAATAGTAATATTGTGAAATACTTCTACCTTTTAAAGGGGTCATCGGATGCCCATTTTCCACAAGTTGATATGATTCTTTAGGGTCTTAATGAAAAGTCTATAACATACATACGTTAAAATTTCTCAATGGTAGTGTAAAAAACACTTTTTTTACCCTGTCAAAATCAGCTGTTTTCAGCAAGCCATTCTAGTCCATGTTGCTTTAAATGCTAATGAGCTCTGCTGACCCCGCCCTTCTCTTCCGTGGGGAACGTTAATCCTCTGCGTCTTCAGCGGCTCAGATGTCGGGAGTAAATGACGACTGCTATATTCATTATTACATCCAACAACAGAACACCTCAATCGCTTAATCGGAGATATTCTTGTCTTCCCCTGCACCGGAGTCGACACAATGGCGGACTGATGACAGCTCACTCAGGGCGGGTCTAAGGTAAGATGCTACTGTCAATCAACTATCATGGGAGGGGCCTGTGCAGAACTACATCATTCTGACAGGAATCTCAGAACAGCCTGATTTGAGAAAGGGGATTTATAGGGATTTAAAAAAAAACACTGGGTGGATTTTTATCATTATAAGATGGATGTGTACACACACTTCCAATACACATTTATGTTCAAACACCTTGTAAAGTGAATTTTGCATCCGATGACCCCTTTAAAATATTTATTTTCTTTTAAAATATATTTTACAATTGAATTTGTTTCTGTGATGGCAAAGCTGAATTTTCAGCAATCATTACTGCAGTCTTCAGTGTCACATGATCCTTCAGAAATCATTCTAATATGCTGATTTGCTGCTTCCACAATGTTTTGTGGTAACCGTGATACAGCAGTCTTTACTGTCACCTTTGATCAATTTAATACATTGTAGCTTAATAAATGAAAAAATCTTACTGACCCCAATTTTTTTGAATGGTACTGCATATATAACATTTTAGCCAAGTGCCTGTCTTGAAACATTAGGGTAGGCAAGTTTATTTATATAGCACATTTCATACACAATGGTAATTCAAAGTGCTTTACATAAAAGGAAGTAAAATAATAATTTAAAAAATCACAACAATAAAACAGAGAACTTAAAAACGTTTAAAATTATTTAGAAATTGATTTAAAATGAATTTAAAACAGTTA